TGGAAGAAAGGAGAGATCTTTATCAGAAACACCGTCAAGAGGCAAATGCCACAAAACTACTTAGGTATTTTTAATCTTTTTGAATATCACTACATTTATCGCTCTTTAATGCATCTGTTAGTTTTTCGATGAGTACTTTTAATGATCAGTGCTTTAAATCAAATACCAATGCAGTCTTAAAATTCACAGCGCAAAGCAGTTACTCTCGACGCAGCAGTGGGCGATTGAAGGAAATCACCGCAAAAAGCAGGCATCAGCTCTAAAGGCTTTCCTTGAGTCAAACCCTTACGCTGAGGATGTAAGTGATATGTATACGAAATTTCATACATTCGCGAGCATATAATAGGTTTTCACCTTGAAACCAGTAATATCAATACAGTTGGTTAATGAATCGTCGTTTATCCGACGCATTCATAATGAATTGAGCATCAGTTGAGTGATGCACCTTATCATGAAAACCCTAGAATGCTTTTTTGCTGATTCAAAAGTTGTATGAAACAAGATTCAAATTTCAGCGTAGTGTGCACGTTTCCATTTCAAAATTTTTACTGCATTCATTTCAGAGCATTCCAAACAATCATGCGGTGTCAAAAGAGTCCATCACAAAAATACTGGAACAATTACAGCAGTATGCTCGTGCTCAGATTGTGAGTCAATTTCAATTATATCTCAAGCAAATATTTACTCGGGATGGAACGGCATGTTTGGTTTCCGATCATGGAATGTAATTATGAGGGGTGATTTGTGACAATTACGCGTCAATATCACAGTCAATTCACTGTCAGTTAGGTGATTATCGCTGTGAGCGGTATCCTGCCAAAGATACTCGAAATGGACTGATTATTGGGTTATTGGTCATGAGGAATGAATGCAATTTACTAAGAGCTAGATAACCGAACCAGTGTGAAGGTTTTGGTTTCTACTGAGGATGCTAAATATTGAATTTCAGAGGTTTCATCAAGATTGTGCTATGCAAATGACCCCGAAAGATGCGTTCATTAAAAACGTTCTCGAGACCACGCAAAAGTGGCTTGAAATGGACAGGAAAGAATTTGAAGACAATGTACTGGCATCTCCTTTGGCTATGAGAATCATAAGGAGGACATTTGCTGGTGGAAACACCACAAATCCGAATAAACCAATGGAATCAAGCAGTGGAACTACCTCAAACCAGGTTCAAGGAATTGAAAATAACCCGCGACAGAAAATCCCGCACCAATTCCCTAATCCATTCTATACCAGTTTTGTGTCAGCTCCACAACCTCTTCAGTACCAATTCGGCAGCCAATTCCATACCTATCATCCAGCAATTCCGCAGCCATTTCTGTATCAGTTCCACAACCCATTCTGGGACAATTACGGAACCAATTTTTTAGCAGTTCCACAATCGTTTCCACACCAGTTTCGCAATTAAATGCACAACCAACTATCTATCAATTCCGAGTACGCTTCCAATAATGTACCAATTCTGTACCATTTGCGCAACCAATTCTATTCCAGTTCTGTACCGATTCCGCAATCAATTATCTACAAATTCCGCAACCTAGTATTTGCCAAATCAGCAACCGATCGCGCAATATATTTGCCAGATCATTATCATTTGCACAGAATTCGACTGCATATAGTACCATACAAAGAAATATTACTGTTTTAACAATTATTTTCATTTATTTCTTACTTCATCATGATGCCGATCATGCTCAAGGCTATTATTATTGTTCTCTCTCAAATAGGCGATATCATTTTGTTGACTTATGTTTCATGAAAGACACATTGCCTAACTTACGGTTTTTTAATGGATTTTTCGCCTAATAGGCAAACTGTTCCTTAGGCAAATTGTCCGTTAGTCAAATTGTCCGTTGGACAAATTGTCCGTTAGGCAAACTGTCCGCTAGGCGAATTGTCCGTTAGGCAAATTGTCCGTTGGGCAAGTTGTCCGTTGGGCAAATTGTCCGTTAGGCAATGTGTCTTTAGCAAACTGTCGCTAGGCAAAATTTCTTTAGACAGATTGGCCGGTCACAGATAGTGATCTCGTTCTCCATTTATCACGCTAATGCCGCTGTTAAACATTAGTTCGATCCACACCATAGCATCTCAGTCTGCCGACGGCAAACAACGCTGTAAACAGTACTACAATCTGAAAACATTATTTATTATACGTTGTCGTGATCATAATCGAAGACACGGGAAAGACATTGAATGCCAGCAATGGAATTCAGTGTCGATGATTTCAATGAAGGAAGACACCATCGCCTGAAGCACCTTCAAAAGGCATAAGGCGCAAAAATATTGAGGTGGCAAGAAACATTAAGATGTATTGTTCAGTGACTGATTATTGATATGAATATTATAATGTGGGCGACGATTGTTTTCTGAAATCGTTCGATGGAATGATGTGACTACAGAAATGTAAGTGACCATTGCAGA